TTTTTTTTTTTTTTTTTTTTTTTTTTTTTTTTTCTTTTTTTTTGAGACAAAGTCTCACTCTGTCACCCAGGCTGGAGTGCAGTGGCGTGATGTCAGCTCACTGCAGCCTCCGCCTCCCGGGTTCAAGTGATTCTCCTGCCTCAGTCTCCCAAGTAGCTGGGATTACAGGTGCATGCCACTGCACCCAGCTAATTTTTTGTATTTTTAGTGGAGATGAGGTTTCACCATGTCGTCCAGGCTCGTTTTGAACTCCTGACCTCAGATGATCCACCTGCCTCAGCCTCCCAAAGTGCTAGGATTATAGTCATGAGCCACCATGCCTGGTCAAATTCTTCAATTCTAATAGTCCCTTTTCATATACTTAAAAAACTCACACTGAGGAGAAACCTTATCAGTGTTAGAATTGTGGGAAAGCTCTCTGTGGTTCCCATTTACAGGAAACGTGAACAAAGTCACACTGTAGAGAAATGCTATGGGAGTTAATGTGGAACCACTTCTTGATTATCTCAGGTCATAATGAACATGTAAGAATTCACAGTGGCAGGAAACCCTACGTATATGGAAAATGTGGGAAAGGCTTCATTTAATCCTTAGGACTGATACCACAAAACTCCCACTAGGGAAAAACCTAGGACTGTAAGGAATATGGGAAAATCTTCCCTTACTCCTCAAGCCTTAAGGTATATGTAAGGATTCCCAGTGGAGAGAAGCCATATTGATGTAAGGAATGTGGGGAAGCCACACTGTTACTCAGTCCTTGATAAACATTTTAGAACTCAAGCTGGAGAGAAACTATGAATTCAAGGAGTGTGGGAAAACTTTTTTTTTTTTCTTTTTGATGGAGTCTCTGTTTCCCAGGGTGGAGTGCAGTGGCACGATCTTGGCTTACTGCAACCTCCGCCTCCCGGGTTCAAGTGATTCTCCTGCCTCAGCCTTCTGGGTAGCTGGGACTACAGGCATGTGCCACTATGCCCAGCTAATGTTTTGTATTTTTAGTAGAGATGGTGTTTCGCTGTGTTAGCCAGGATGGTCTCGATCTCCTGACCTCATGATGTGCCCACCTGGGCCACCCAAAGTACTGGGATTACAGGTGTGAGCCACTTTGCGTGGCGGGAAAACCTTTTTATGTTTCACAGCTTTAATATGCACATGCCAATGTATGCTGGAGAATAACTTGATGAATATAAGTGGAATGGCCTAGATCAGGGGTCCCCAAACCCCTGGTCATGGACTGGTACTGGTCTGTGGCCTGTTATGATCTGGGCCACACATACGGAGGTGAATGTAGGGTGAGCAAGCATTACTGCCTGTCCTCCACCTTCTGTCGGATCAGCAGCAACATTAGATTCTCATAGGAGCATGAACTCTATTGTGAACTGCATATGCAGGAGATCTAGGTTGCACATTCCTTACGAGAATCTAAGGCCTGATGATCTGAGGTGGAACAGTTTAATCCCCAATCCCCTACTTCAGTCCGTAGGAAAAATGTCTTTCATGAAACTGGCCCCTGGTGCCAAAAAGTTAGGGGACTGCTGATCTGGATTATGTCCCATGTCTCAACCACCAGTCAACATATTAAGGCTTCCTCCCCTGGGACCTCAAGATGAGGTGGTATTTGGAAATGTTGTTTTTTAAAGAGGTGATTTTAAAATGAGGCAGTTAGAATGGGGCCCTCATTCAATATGACTGGTTTCCTTACAAGAAGTGAAAGAGATATCAGGGTAGCAGGAACAGAATTTTATGTGACATGACCAGAAATGGTATCTGCAAGTCAAGGAGAGATTCCTGGAAGAGATACTTCTTTTAAGGCTCATTATGAAGGAAACCATCTTTATCTACACTTTGATCCTGGACTTCCAGCCTCCAAAACTATGAGCAAATAAATTTCTGTTGTTTAAGTCATCCAATGTGTGTGTGGTTTTTTTTTTTTT